GTTATGTATATGATTGATGTAGGAGATGATTAGTAGGTGGTGTGTTTAGCTATAGTATAACTACGTCAAGCATGTACATCTAGTAGGTATGTGTATACATACATCCGCATGGAGGATATTTGTGTGGTTATGTCAATTGGTGAAACTACTTACACACAAATTGGTAGCTAGTGCACAATGTAGCATCCGACCTCACGTGCAATGTAGAGAGCTACACTGGTATGCACGGCCGTGTAAAACATTGACATCACTTTGATTGCTACATTACGACATAATGACAAAGTGACAGCACTCAACACATCATTCCCTCGTAAATATCTCGTCAACAAGAATAAGCGCACGTGCTAAGTACATCTGTCTATATCGTCATACACAAGGACCTGTTTAAATGCTTTCATCATCCCTGTGAAATTAAAGCGTTTTAAATAAAAACCTGTAATTGATCTCTGATATCGTTTTCTGAAATGTCTAAACTGGATTACCCGTGGGGCGGGGGAGGGGAGTGGGGTTCGCATCGAAAATATAGGTATCTATAATACCCCCTTTACACAAGGTGACAACCTTTGTGCCTCCTTTATGCGCAATAAAACTGGACAGGACGCTGTTGCAGGCTCAAGGGAGGCCGAATGATTGCCTAGGTCGTTCAAAGATGGTACACAGGATGTTCACACATCGCCATGTACGCCATGGTCGCCGTAAATCTTTGAACATGTTCAAAACAGTCTCACAAAGTTCGCCAAGGAGGTTGATTGCTCAAAGGTGGCTCAAAGGTGGCTCACAAGAGGCAGAAGGAATGCACGAGTATTGCCGTGGTTGCAGAATGGACGCACAATGGTCGGTCGGCCAATGGTCGCCACGTAATAGATGCGTTCTGTTGCAATATTTCAAAAGTTTTAACATACGCACCTTGCGGCAATGTTAGAATGGCCAATTAAATGGGCAAATGAAACAAGTAACATTTGTAGTTGCATTGAGTTCAATTTGAGCAGAAATTGAAATATATCACTATGATAGATGACCGTGAGTGCTGGCCACACGTGCTAGTGATCCCAGACATTTTGGCAGTGTTTCATCTGTGTCGAGTGCCAAGGTATGATAAAATACTCGGTGGTGTAGGGAGCGAATTAGATTATTCCAGATGTACACTTTTGTTTAGTACAAATTCACAAGTGTTGACAGTAAATAGAACATTCAATCTGCTTTAAGTAATTATACATATCTCAACATGTGGAAATATTTATGCTTCCATTACCACGTGGTTTGAAGCATAAACAAATGTAACGCCTCTCACTCCAAGCCTAGTGAACGTGTTTAAGTTGAGTAGGTGATAATATCTGTATAATTCAGGATGATGCCCTCCCGTTCTTGACCCATTCTAGTTTTCTAGCATTAATCTTGGAGCAGAGTTCGTTTAATGAAATATCTAAATATAGAACATTTATCATAACACGTGTTTGTCTTCTTTCATCTGTCCTGTTACTAAATATATCACGCGTGCATTCACAGGGTATTAAACTAGCACGTGCAGTGAACTCTTGCAAAGTGGGAGGGGAATTCACTTCGTTCTGTCATTATAATGAAATAGATATGTTTTGCTGCGATTTTAATTGAACACTCCAACAACAACAACAACAACAACAACAACAACCAATAATCGTTTTTAAAATCACTACTGAAACAGGAACTGTTTTCTTTGCAACGTGAGACTTTAGAATCAATTACTACACAAAGGACCAACAAGGAAGGGGCTCCACAACTTAGTATTGATGTTCTAGACCCTCTTAACCTGGTACCTGTAAAAGTTTTTATTTGTTTCGTAAAATAACGAGGCATTGCTGATTAAGACCTTCTATTGCCTGATAAAAGATTTATTAGTCTCGCCGAAAAGAGGTCTTGATAGTTGAGGGGTTGATAAAGTTATACCAGTTTCGAAGAAAACGACGACCCGTATTGCTGGTTTAGATATCCCATTTCACGTGAAAAAATTGATTACACTCGCTGAAAACGGGGTGTCTTATTGATGGTTTAGACCCCCAATTGGCTGGTGAAAGTTTCAGTAGTATCATAGATAACGGAGGACACTCCCGAGGCCTTGATAACACCGACAGACAACGTATGACTCAAGATGAAAGAATTTTGTGAGAACTATAAAAGGGGGAAAACCGTAATATTTCAAAAGTACAGCGGTCGGCAGTCTCTAACAACGACGTGTTGTGTACGAGAGCAAACAGGAGATGAGGAGATGGTCGTTTTATTTAAATTATTTGAAATTATTTTGTTTCTAGTTACCTGAATACGAAACGAGGTTACTATGTACATGTAGATACAGAAAATTACAACATCCGGGTTCCAGGTGAGGGATGAGATGACATAACATAGATGGTAAAGACCACAGGGATCTAAGAATTGTTACAACGGCTGTGTCTGGAACTCAACAAATGTGAGTCAAATAATAGGCGTTTCAGGGATTTTAATACCATCAATGGGTTTGTATTTTTACCGGGGCTTGAGCCAAACCCCTAATACGTCTAATAGCAGGTCCATCAGGTCCCTGTGTGTTCCAGATTAGTGACGAGGTTCGTATCACAGTATGCTTATGCATTTTCTCAAACAAAACTTATACAAAAAGTAAAAAGAATCTGTATGTGTCAAGAGACACATTCAACTGATTTGCCGTATAGTATATAGCACACAGGATAACAACAACAGGCAATTGCGATCGATCTTCGGCACTCTCCGTAAACGAGGAAACATGTTTACGAAAAGTGCCGATGGTTCCCGATAACCTCGGCTGACATAAAAATCGAAATTCGCCATGAAAATAAAAGTACACCACCAAGTACACAACAGAAACTTATTACTTATATATGCTAATATTAACACATATCCGTCCGGGTATTATTTAACCCTTTCACCCCTATGTAACTTTAGTAGACCTTAATTACCATGCATTGATATGGATGAGTCCATTATGGTCTACAGTGGTGAAAGGGTTACGTAATACGCATCCAGCGAACATTTGTTAGGTCGGACCCAGTGCCCACGTGCACATTGGACTATACTTTCGTTGATAATTGAGACTTATAAATATTCTATTCAATGTTGTTCCAAAAAAAATATTGAAGCCGATTTTGATGATTCATTATTTTGCGTGAAGTTTCTATGTGGGGGTATTTTGGACGGTAATGTACGGAAAGTCCTGCCAGCAGCACCATATAGAAACACTATGGAGAAGTCCAGCCAGTAAGTTTCAGATAGTTACCGTAACTTACGGGGTGATTTTGTTGGTAATTCGAAGTATCGGTGCCAAGAACGGTAATGAAACCAACCTGTGGGTGATAGGACTTAAATAGGAACAAAGAGGCGCACAAGGGATCATTCGTCGGAGAAATATTAAGAAACTCTTCCTGTAAATATAAATGTATAGGGCAACTCTGGCATATGTCTTGTGACGGCTTTGATTAAATAGGCAGGACCGTTTCCCGACGAAATATTTAAATGACGCTATATGAATATCACAAAAGCAACACGCACAGATGCGCCAAGTTGCGTAAGGGTGCTAAAGCGATATTATCTCGTTATCAAAGTATGTAGATGGGAAGCTAGAGAGGAGATAGGTATTAATACGGAAAGGTACACGTAGTGCAGACACTGGCATCTGTCAAACCCCATCAGCTGTCTAAGACAAGTTCCTGATCAGCGTTCTCAGACAAGTTCCTGATCAGCTGTCTCATACAAATCCATAATGAGCTGTTAGAGACAACGATATGCTACTTTGTATATATAACGATAACGCAGTTCAATATGAAATAAACAGTTTGACTCGGACATTTTATAGTTAAAAATCTTGTTTAAATTCAATTGAAGATGCCGTTATTGATGACAAATTGGAATTTCAATTTAATGTGAGATACATTTCAATTTAAAAAAGAGGTTCTTTATTCTTCTTATTTTATAGTTTACAAAGGAGATACAATAGCTATTATCTATGAACGATGGTGTAATATTTTGCATGTTAAAAGGCTGTTTGGCTTCATCAAATAACATTTGTTTGTTGTATTTACATATTTCTCACACCGCATGACATTTCGTCTCCGTTTTTAATCGAAATAACATTCGTTTATTTGGACGTTGTCTAGACTGTTAACAGCTAAAGTGATCTCCATGCGGCACGTATATCTGTAAAGGACCAACTCACTGCAGTCTATTGCAGTCAGCCTTGAAATACGTCCCCTGCCTGGCCGAGGCATACATTATCTTCGTCATACACAGGCGTTGTCTTATTGTACACGGCTTGGAATGTGTTGCTTGTGTTGTATTCTCTATATTTGTGTGCAAATTCTGGATGTTCAATATTGACTGTTGTTGCTGCTGCTGTTGATATCATCGTCGTCGTCATCGTCGTCGTCATTGTTGATACTGTTGCTGTTCAGATTTTATATTTACCAGAGTGACATAATTTAGACAAGTCAAACTTACGATTACCATGCGTTTTATTGTTACTGTTACTGTTGTTTGTCGTTGTTGTTGTTGTTTACGAGTTTATTGTTCTCGTTGTCATCGTCGTCGTCTTTCTGTTGCTGTTGTTGTTGTTGTTGTTACTGTTGTTGTTGTTATTGTTTTTGAAGAAGAAGATGACGACGACGACGACGACGACGACGACGACGACGACGATGATGATGATGATGATGATGATGATGATGATGATGATGTCGTTGATGACGACGACGATGATGATAGTGATAATGACGTCGTCGTCGATGATGATGACGAATATATGATGTCGTCGACGCTTTTGTTATTGATGTCGTCGACGCTTTTGTTGTTGTTGTTGTTGTTGTTGTTGTTGTTGTTGTTATAATCTTGTCACTACATGGTTTGTGACATATAACATTGTATGACATAGCTGTTGAAATGCTGTTTATGTGATTAACCAAACACTATCAACAATAATCGTGTACCTATTCTTGGTAATCCTTAGGGTAACTTTTATCTTTCAGAATCATGGTACTGGGTCTGACTGAGTCCACAATGCCGTATAAAGGCCAGAAGTATTACAAGATCAAAAGTTCGTGCACACGTAACAGTAAATTGTTCGTGGACACGGAGTTCCCGCCCTCCGGAGCCTCCCTGTTCTTCAGTCGCCCTGCCCCAGCCGATATCGTCTGGAAACGCCCGGGTGTAAGTATTCAAGGTTTAGTCATGTACACAATTCTTACGGATTCAACAATAATTCGATTTAGAATGCAAACAGTTGATGTACATATTTTGTTTCAAACTAGTAAGATTTGTTTTGCAAATAATTGCAATAACTTGATTTTTTGAAATTTGAAATTAGAAACGTTACCAACAGGAATTCGAATACAGTAATAAAGTGACATATTTTAATAAGTAACCTAGATCTTTAAAATTGATATTTTTTCTCAAAAACTTTTGAAATGAAACTTTAATATTGTATATCTACACGTATATAATGCCACGCTTGATTTTGAAATCATAACAGTAAAAAATCACAGCTTGAAAAAGTTTTTATTATTTGACATATATAGGCAGATGACCCCTGCTTACATAGAAATTGTCCATGCATCTCTATTTTAACAATTAGTCCAAAACAAAGAGTGGCACAACATGCATTAATATTTTCAAAATGTTATTGTTGTAAGTATGGAACAAAATTGTATTTCATGTGAGTTATCTGTATTCTTCAAATCTGGCTATTTATTAACTATAAGTAACGCCATTCCTTTTAAATATTGTACTTCTGCATATCCATTAAAAAAAATCACATCGAAATATTTGTGGGGGAAGGCATAGCATCTTTGATTACAGATTGTTTTTTCGCCATCAATCTTATAAATGTACCTCTGTACATACATGACCCCCGTACCACGGCCAAAAACTGNCACCATACATTGCGGAACTTATGGAATAAACAAAATATAATCAACAACAGTGATCTGAGGAGCTTAAACAAAAGTTAGTAGAGCTATACCTGGATTCGATCCCAGTACCTCGAATTGTTATACGGGTTGATAACTGACTGAATTACTTGGCCAGACGCCTTAACCACTTGGACACCGCTGCCCCCGTTAGGTTTTACAATTTATTGAAAATGCATACACAATAACAAGATGGACAAAAGGACGAAGACACTCATACTAACTCCAACATGTCATCATCAGCATCATCATCGTCAGGGGCGGGTGGCCAAGTAGTTTAGGCGTCTGACATTCTGCTACCACTAGCCCTCCACCACTGGGTCGCCTACGTGGGGCAATTTCCAGGTATTGACCGTAGGTCAGTGGTTTTTCCTCGGGAACTCCGGTTCCCCTCCACCTCAAAAACCTGGCACGTCCTTAAATGACCATAATAGGACGTAAAACACAAACAAACCAAATCAACTTCATCATCATTATCCTAATCATCGTCGTCGTCGTCGACGACCTCCTCGCTGACGCCACCCAACAAAACTCTTATATGTTCTTTGTATAAAATAAACAACAAAACCTCTCACTCGTTCACACGACCGTATCTATTCTCACCCGGATACACCCATGATGGACTTATATTTAAATGTGTGTTACATTGTATCTACATGAACTCTTCTTTTAATGACCCGCAATGCTTTTTTCTACATGTATTTGATAATGTTACAGACTTAAACCTAAATCATTGAGTTCTATTGTATCTTAGCTAAGGCTGATTTAACGAATTGGAGCAAACTGTAGGTCTCCGTAAACGATATTTCGGAAGGATTTTTTTTATTCCGTACCTGTTTGCTCCTAATTTCAGGATATATGTGCAAGTCCAAAGTTTTTTACGGAAGGAGCGAGTGCTGATGATTTCTCCCAGGGAAGCTTGGGTAATTGTTGGTTTGTAGCCGCGTGTGCCTGCATCGCAGAGGATTCCAAACTCTGGAAAAAGGTATGTAGCCATGTTGTGACACATGTGTTGCCATGCGATGGCATATATGCACTTATTCAATGACACAGGCAATAACGTATGTACATCCATGCAAATGGCACACGTGCAACCATGCAATGACAGAAGAGTTGTCATGCAATAACACATATGTTACCATGCAATGACACTTGTAGCCATGCAATGACACCTGTAGCCATGCAATGACACTTGTAGCCATGCAATGACACCTGTAGCCATGCAATGCCACTTGTAGCCATGCAATGACACTTGTAGCCATGCGATGAACACTTGTAGCCATGCGATGACACTTGTAACCATGCAATGACACTTGTAGCCATGCAATGACACCTGTAGCCATGCAATGACACCTGTAGCCATGTAATGACACTTGTAGCCATGCAATGACACTTGTAGCCATGCAATGACACTTGTAGCCATGCGATGACACTTGTAGCCATGCGATGACACTTGTAGCCATGCAATGATGGAAGTGACCTATTTAATGACATATTCTTCTTTGTCCAGATGGACTTTTGCTAAGTAGAATGACAACCAAATAAAATGCGATTAACTAGGATTTACAAAGTAAAGTATAATCATATGAACTTTGAAGCCTTCAATGGCATCTTCAGGGCCTATATTCATGAAACAGTTCTCATGCTCAAGTATGGATTCTGCGCTCAAACCAACTTTCTTGTAACTAGCTAAAATATTGACACACAGTCAATAAGTCAAGTGTAAAATATTTTAAATGGTATTTAACTTAAAGTCGCTCTATGATTTATTAAAATCATCGACAAAATGTGATTTGTATACGTCGTCCGACGGGTCGTATCATGGTATGGGCTGCGTTGTCCGATGTCCGTCCGTCTGTTAACTTTTCCTTATAAGGGCTTTGTGTAATACATGCAAGAACTTTTTGATCAGTTCCCTTCAAATTTGGTATGGTAATGCTAGAATCAAAAATCTTCAACATATATTTCGGGGTTTTCTGTCGAGTTTCAACTTTTCGCGTTTTGGCTTATCACATGCTATAAATGAGTTCCAAAATCGTGACATTTAAACGCTATTCGGCAGAGTTAAGCCCTTTTTTCATTGCCAAATAAGGTCATTCCTTCGACAATACAAGCACATAATAAAGTTACATAATTTAGGTCATTTACGGTGCAGTTGGAAACAATATGACTGTCTAGAGTTTTAAAATTCAACAACACAACGAAGCAATCGAGCGAGATGTGTGTTCTTGCGATGAATGTGTGGTCTTTAGAATCAACGATCATGGTGAATGTGGGTTTCTTTCTTGTAAGTGTTTTTTTCAGGCCAGGGCTTCTACGTTGATAAGTTTTGTACATTTCACTCTGTGTAAAACGAGTCAATCCTTCGTTCTGGGCTTTTCAAATGAAGCACACTTTCATGATTGATCTTGTTCTGCAGCGTGCTTGTCGTATTCTTTTGTGTAGCATCACGCCGATTGTCGCGGAACTATATTTTTTTTAACCAAGATGATATTAAGAATGATCACTAGAGTATTGGTTTAACGAGGTACCAGTGGTGTTCCTAAGACCTGTTCAAAACGAGAAATCTAAGGATTTTGTAGGCACCTGATGTAAGGTAGATATGGCTTTAAACATTCATTTTGTATGTGGATGGGGATGAGGGGGGTGGGGGTTGGGGGTTGAGGGAGCGGGGAGCGGTTTCATCTCTTCTTAAAATTATTTATACAAGTTTCGCGAGGTATCGTTTCATTTTGAAGAAAGGTTTCCAATTTAGAGTTACATGTTTTGGCTGTGGTGCCGGGGTCCTTAACTGCAGACTCGTCTATTTATTGTGTTTTCAGGCAGTTTGATAGGTTGATATCTCTCCAAGAAACGCGATGTATGTTTTGCTATTTTTTATTAGACCCTCTCTTTAATAAATGACTCAACTAATGGAATTAAGATTCAATGGTAGATGAAATGATTCTGAATAATTTCAACAGAAACTAATTTAAGATTTGAAATAATTTCGTTTACTTTACAAGTATGATATATTACATTTATCAGACAGTGAATGGAAACAGCTGCTTTTATGCGAGGGTGTATCATACCGCCACGATGAGTCATGTGCAAAGGATTATTTGTTTCAAATAACCCTTTCGGAACCCTAACTAGATAACATGTATTAAAATGTCACGTCAAATATGTGCTTCACATTCCAGTATTGATGAACATGTCAAAAGTCAGCCTCCTTTTAACACTTTGCCCTAAACATATAATCATATTTTCCTCGTTACTGGGTAGGCGTGCAAAGTGTACATAAATAAAGAAGGTTTTAACAGTCTTACAAAACAAATATTGTTCAACTGTAGAGAAATATATTGGAGGTGTCAGTTTCAAAAACCTGGACGGACCGCCGCATGCTAACCAATCCCTGTAGATTAGTGAATGTAGTCGTCTGGTGATGGGGAACACACTCCCCGCTGTTCGCACCAGGAATGAAGCATGCCTCGCCCCATCTCTCATGTCTGTAATAAACTTGAAAATTTGAAGTTAAGACTAATACATATACTTTCTAATGGTGTATATTTGCGTGTTTGTGTGTGTGTATGTAGCACGCGCGATCTGAAAGGGTGTTTGATGCACGTCTCTATAAATAGCGGAGCGGGTAATAACTCGTCGACACTTGACAGACGCCAGGCACTGATACAAAACATGTCTATCTCCCTTCCCTCTGAATCATCTTCAAACCAGATTCCATACCGAAAATAAATTAATAATGCACATTAAAGATCATAGATGTGAATTGCATATTTGCCTGCGACTTCCTGATAACACAGAAACAGTCACGCTAACTGAAGAGTATATTGTATGTTAGCGGAAACAATATACATATTATTTACTTGGGTACAGAGTTAAGGATACAGATGTAATACATGGAAACACAATTGGTGTAAAGCCAAGTTTTAGCAATAATATATGTTTTCATGCAAAAGGGAAAATCAATTATTTTGTTTTGTAGCACATGTGTTTACATTGCTCATTATGTGTAAACAACACAAAAGTTCTATCATTCATGGCTTTCAGTAGACCATTGAGAGTATGTTTTTTGACTTCCCAAAATGATACACGACTCTTAGGGATTGAAGCACATGTCTATTTCACATATGTTTAGGCTCTCAAAAATTCTAGGATAATTCTATTTGACTGCTGAAATTGCTAAATGTCAAGGGTCAACTGAAAGCCGTGTTATTAAGACATACCTTTAACATAAACTTTTAACCCGCATTATGACGACATCCTATAAAAACCATAACCAATATTGGGTGCTGTAGGTTGAAATGTGCTTGCTATGTAATTGTCAGATCGTTCCGGACTCCGACGAGCAAGAATGGCTGCCTGGGAAGAAGTACGCTGGAATATTCCACTTCAAATTCTGGCAGTGTGGTCAGTGGCTAGATGTGGTCATCGACGACTATCTCCCCACCCGCTACGGTAGACTCATCTTTGCACATTCCAAGAGCGGAAATGAATTTTGGCCTGCCCTTCTGGAAAAAGCATATGCAAAGTACGTAACGTGACCATCGATAGTTAAAGAATGAAAACATGTATGCTACACCAGTACAAGTGGTTGTGGAGCTGGGGCTTGATTGTATTCTCATATGTAAATATATATCTTCTTAAATGGCATATCCTGCCTAACTTATTGACATTTATAAGAAAAGTCTTTCGTTTAATAAGGCTTGGACTAGATAATAAATCAATTGTATTGACCGAAAACCGAAGTGCACTCTGATTACCATAAAGAAACAAACTGTGAAAAGAAGAAGTTTTTTTGTGTACTACGTCATCACAACGTCATGTCCTTATTGTTTCGGCCTTTCACTCGGTAGACTGTACACGCAAAACAATGAATGATGTGTTATTGATTTAGATACATTTCTTAAGTTATTGTATGAAACTGTTGTTCATTTTGTTGAGGTAAGAGACATTGAAAAGTGTTAATTAGATATGGGAATGTTATCATACCTATGTACGACATATTAAACTGTTTCACTTGCTCAGGTTATTCGGTGACTACGAGTCGTTGATAGCTGGGAAGGCACGTGACGCTATGGTGGATATGACGGGCGGTGTTGGCGAGGGTATAGAGCTGGAGGAGTATCGATCTGTGGAGGAAAAGAAAAAACTTTTCAAGATCCTCAGGACCTCCTTTGAAAACAGATCCCTCATGAGCGCTTCCATTAGGGTAGGTCTTTCAGTTTCATCATGAGCGCTTCCATTAGGGTAGGCATTTCGGTTTCATCATGAGCGCTTCCATTAGGGTATGCCCTTCACTCATAACCATGAGCCATATCATGAGCGCTTCAATTAGGGTCATCCTCGATATCCAGGGGTTACGCTCACTTTCGCTCTCTACACCCCTGGAATATGTCATAGCAAATTTGAAGGCATGAAGACTGTTTGATTGGTCTCAGGTAAAAAAAACTGACCAATCGCTAGGCTGATATATGTCCTTTGAAGTTTACAAAGGAGAGACACCCGACTTCAAAGCCTGTCAATTGTTACCGTTACGTAACCGCGAGATTCTTTTGATGTACATCAAAGGATCCAGCTAGTCTCCTTGTCTCATCAAGAAGGTGGCGCACACCGATCCTTCAATTTCGCTATGACATATTCCAGGGTTGTAGAGAGCGAAAGCGAGCGTAACCCCTGGATATCGAGGATGCATTAGAGTAGGCCTTTCACTCATCATTATGAGCGACATCATGAGCGCTTCCATTAGAGTAGGCCTTTCAGTCTCCAACCTCCATTAGGGTAGTCCTGTCAGTCTCCAAACTTAGAGTAGGCCTTTCACTCATCATTATGAGCGACATCATGAGCGCTTCCATTAGAGTAGGCCTTTCAGTCTCCAACCTCCCTTAGGGTATGCCTTTCAGTCTCCAACCTCCATTAGGGTAGTCCTTTAAGTCTCCAACCTCCATTAGAGTAGGCCTTTCAGTGTCCAACCGCCATTAGGGTAGTCCTTTCAGTCTCCAACCTCCATTAGAGTAGGCCTTTCAGTGTCCAACCGCCATTAGGGTAGTCCTTTCAGTCTCCAACCTCCATTAGAGTAGGCCTTTCAGTGTCCGTCCTCCATTAGGGTAGTCCTTTCAGTCTCCAACCTTCATTAGGGTAGTCCTTTCAGTCTCCAACCTCCATTAGAGTAGCTCATCATTATGAGCGACATCATGAGCGCTTCCATTAGAGTCGGCCTTTCAGTCTCCAACCTCCATTAGGGTAGTCCTTTAAGTCTCCAACCTCCATTAGGGTAGTCCTTTCAGTGTCCAGCCTCCATTACAGTAGGCCTTTCAGTCTCCAACCTCCATTAGAGTAGTCCTTTCGGTCTCCAACCTCCATTAGGGTAGGCCTTTCAGTGTCCAACCTCCATTAGAGTAGGCCTTTCAGTCTCCAACCTCCCTTAGGGTATGCCTTTCAGTCTCCAACCTCCATTAGGGTAGTCCTGTCAGTCTCCAAACTTAGAGTAGGCCTTTCACTCATCATTATGAGCGACATCATGAGCGCTTCCATTAGAGTCGGCCTTTCAGTCTCCAACCTCCATTAGGGTAGTCCTTTAAGTCTCCAACCTCCATTAGAGTAGGCCTTTCAGTCTCCAACCTCCATCAGGGTAGTCCTTTCAGTCTCCAACCTCCATTAGTGTAGGCCTTTCAGTCTCCAACCTTTAGGGTAGTCCTTTCAGTCTCCAACCTCCATTAGTGTAGGCCTTTCAGTCTCCAACCTTTAGGGTAGTCCTTTCAGTCTCCAACCTCCATTAGGGTAGCCCTTTCAGTCTCCAACCTCCATTAGAGTAGGCCTTTCAGTCTCAAACCTCCATTAGGGTAGTCCTTTCAGTCTCCAACCTTCATTAGGGTAGTCCTTTCAGTGTCCAACCTCCATTAGAGTAGGCCTCTCAGTCTCCAACCTCCATTAGGGTAGGCCTTTCAGTGTCCAACCTCCATTAGAGTAGGCCTCTCAGTCTCCAACCTCCATTAGGGTAGGCCTTTCAGTGTCCAACCTCCATTAGAGTAGTCCTTTCAGTGTCCAGCCTCCATTACAGTAGGCCTTTCAGTCTCCAACCTCCATTAGAGTACGCCTTTCAGTGTCCAACCTCCATTAGGGTAGGCCTTTCAGTCTCCAACCTTCATTAGGGTAGTCCTTTCAGTCTCCAACCTCCATAAGGGTAGTCCTTTCAGTCTCCAACCTCCATTAGGGTAGTCCTGTCAGTCTCCAAACTTAGAGTAGGCCTTTCACTCATCATTATGAGCGACATCATGAGCGCTTCCATTAGAGTAGGCCTTTCAGTCTCCAACCTCCCTTAGGGTATGCCTTTCAGTCTCCAACCTCCATTAGGGTAGTCCTGTCAGTCTCCAAACTTAGAGTAGGCCTTTCACTCATCATTATGAGCGACATCATGAGCGCTTCCATTAGAGTAGGCCTTTCAGTCTCCAACCTCCCTTAGGGTATGCCTTTCAGTCTCCAACCTCCATTAGGGTAGTCCTTTCAGTGTCCAGCCTCCATTACAGTAGGCCTTTCAGTCTCCAACCTCCATTAGAGTAGTCCTTTCGGTCTCCAACCTCCATTAGGGTAGGCCTTTCAGTGTCCAACCTCCATTAGAGTAGTCCTTTCAGTGTCCAGCCTCCATTACAGTAGGCCTTTCAGTCTCCAACCTCCATTAGAGTACGCCTTTCAGTGTCCAACCTCCATTAGGGTAGGCCTTTCAGTCTCCAACCTCCATTAGGGTAGTCCTTTCAGTGTCCAACCTCCATTAGAGTAGGCCTTTCAGTCTCCAACTTCCATTAGGGTAGTCCTTTCAGTCTCCAACCTCCATTAGTGTAGGCCTTTCAGTCTCCAACCTCCATTAGGGTAGGCCTTTCAGTCTCCAACCTCCATTAGAGTAGGCCTTTCAGTGTCCAACCTCCATTAGGGTAGTCCTTTCAGTCTCCAACCTCCATTAGAGTAGGCCTTTCAGTGTCCAACCTCCATTAGGGTAGTCCTTTCAGTCTCCAACCTCCATTAGGGTAGTCCTTTCAGTCTCCAACCTCCATTAGGGTAGTCCTTTCAGTCTCCAACCTCCATTAGAGTAGGCCTTTCAGTGTCCAACCTCCATTAGGGTAGTCCTTTCAGTCTCCAACCTCCATTAGGGTAGTCCTTTCAGTCTCCAACCTCCATTAGAGTAGGCCTTTCAGTGTCCAACCTCCATTAGGGTAGTCCTTTCAGTCTCCAACCTCCATTAGGGTAGTCCTTTCAGTCTCCAACCTCCATTAGAGTAGGCCTTTCAGTGTCCAACCTCCATTAGAGTAGGCCTTTCAGTGTCCAACCTCCATTAGGGTAGTCCTTTCAGTGTCCAACCTCCATTAGGGTAGTCCTTTCAGTCTCCAACCTCCATTAGAGTAGGCCTTTCAGTCTCCAACCTCCATTAGGGTAGGCCTTTCAGTCTCCAACCTACATTAGGGTAGGCCTTTCAGTCTCCAACCTCCATTAGAGTAGGCCTTTCAGTCTCCAACCTCCATTAGGGTAGTCATTTCAGTCTCCAACCTCCATTAGGGTAGTCCTTTCAGTCTCCAACCTCCATTAGGGTAGTTCTTTCTCTCTCTTCAAAAGAGCTCGCATTATGTATATAAACAGGTCATTCACTCTCCTCATTGGAGCCTCTTGGTGGATACTTCGTTCGTTTTCTACCTAAGAGCTTTAATTAAGATAAGCCTTTCACGCTCTTCATTGGAGCCTCTTGGTGGATACTTTGTTCGTTTTCTACCTAAGAGCTTTAATTAAGATAAGCCTTTCACGCTCTTCATTGGAGCCTCTTGGTGGATACTTCGTTCGCTTTCTACCTAAGAGCTTTAATTAAGATAAGCCTTTCACGCTCTTCATTGGAGCCTCTTGGTGGATACTTTGTTCGTTTTCTACCTAAGAGCTTTAATTAAGATAAGCCTTTCACGCTCTTCATTGGAGCCTCTTGGTGGATACTTTGGTCGTTTTCTACCTAAGAGCTTTAATTAAGATAAGCCTTTCACGCTCTTCATTGGAGCCTCTTGGTGGATACTTCGTTCGCTTTCTACCTAAGAGCTTTAATTAAGATAAGCCTTTCACGCTCTTCATTGGAGCCTCTTGGTGGATACTTTGGTCGTTTTCTACCTAAGAGCTTTAATTAAGATAAGCCTTTCACGCTCTTCATTGGAGCCTCTTGGTGGATACTTCGTTCGTTTTCTACATAAGAGCTTTAATTAAGATAAGCCGTTCACGCTCTTCATTGGAGCCTCTTGGTGGATACTTTGGTCGTTTTCTACCTAAGAGCTTTAATTAAGATAAGCCTTTCACGCTCTTCATTGGAGCCTCTTGGTGGATACTTTGTTCGTTTTCTACCTAAGAGCTTTAATTAAGATAAGCCTTTCACGCTCTTCATTGGAGCCTCTTGGTGGATACTTTGTTCGTTTTCTACCTAAGAGCTTTAATTAAGATAAGCCGTTCACACTCCTCATTGGAGCCTCTTGGTGGATACTTTGTTCGTTTTCTACCTAAGAGCTTTAATTAAGATAAGCCGTTCACACTCCTCATTGGAGCCTCTTGGTGGATACTTTGGTCGTTTTCTACCTAAGAGCTTTAATTAAGATAAGCCGTTCACACTCCTCATTGGAGCCTCTTGGTGGATACTTCGTTCGCTTTCTACCTAAGAGCTTTAATTAAGATAAGCCGTTCACGCTCCTCATTGGAACCTCTTGTTGGATACTTCGTTCGTTTTCTACCTAAGAGCTTTAATTAAGATAAGCCGTTCACGCTCTTCATTGGAGCCTCTTGGTGGATACTTTGGTCGTTTTCTACCTAAGAGCTTTAATTAAGATAAGCCGTTCACGCTCCTTATTGGAACCTCTTGTTGGATACTTCGTTCGTTTTCTACCTAAGAGCTTTAATTAAGATAAGCCGTTCACACTCCTCATTGGAGCCTCTTGGTGGATACTTCGTTCGTTTTCTACCTAAGAGCTTTAATTAAGATAAGCCTTTCACGCTCTTCATTGGAGCCTCTTGGTGGATACTTTGGTCGTTTTCTACCTAAGAGCTTTAATTAAGATAAGCCTTTCACGCTCTTCATTGGAGCCTCTTGGTGGATACTTTGTTCGTTTTCTACCTAAGAGCTTTAATTAAGATAAGCCGTTCACGCTCCTCATTGGAGCCTCTTGCTGGATACTTCGTTCGTTTTCCACATAAGAGCTGTAATTAATATAAGCCGTTCACTCTCCTCATTGGGAGCACTTTAGGTATTCCCTTAACAACCTTTATGGTAATGCGTGACTTTCCACTCTCTATAAAAAAAACGTTCAAGAGTTACCCAAAAGTCGTTGTTCGCTGCTACATGCTAATAATAAACATATGAATTCTTTTAAAATGCCATCTTGAACTCTACTATTTCATAATTAATGCAGTATTGAACATTGCCAAAAGATGTTATTTAAGATGAATATCTAAAGTTATCTTAAGATCAGCAGTGTAGTGAGATTTGGCTGCTGGCATCAGCCGTCATAAAATACCAAATAGGTTACCTTCACACTCACAGATGGTTTTATGTTATGTAATATTTCACCTATAATCACTATGCTCAAAGCTAGTTTTATGAAATAAAATATTTCATCTGCAAACCTTATCTTCAGCGCTATTTCAATTTTTTTTTCAATTCATCTGTTACCCTTATACTCAAAAAATAGATACATCCATTGCATCTATATTCTTTGCACTCAAAGCAAACTCTATGTTAAACAATATTCCATCTGCATTTCCTAAATTACTCGAAGTTAGTTTTATTGATTCTGTTTATGCAGTACAATATGTCATCTGTAATCCTTGAGCTCAAAGCTAATTTCATATAATATTTAACAACATCGATAACGCCTGTACTCACACCTAGTTTCTTCCTTTACCTTATCCTCTTACTTAAACCTAATTTTATGTAAATGATGCTCTTTTTTTTAAAGTGGAAATACTCACGTGTGGAAATATTCGCGTTTGCAATAGGTAAAATCCCTTCAAAATTCGCGTGTTGGTATTTTCGCGCTTATTTACTTAACGCACTTAACGCTAACATTTCAACAACGCCAAAACGTACATTTTTAAAGTATGAAATACAATAAGATGTTGTAAGCTACATGCGATAATTAAAGGTCATTTGGACATACAGGCAACAGGTTCAGAGATGGAGTCTCAGCTGTCATGCGGATTAGTAAAGGGACACGCCTACAGTATCACTGCCGTCAAGAAAATAAAGCTAGTCGGTAAAAACCTTTTCGCAGTATTCAACCGGACGAAAATGAACATGATACGGTTAAGGAATCCCTGGGGAGGAACTGAATGGAGGGGACCATGGAGTGATGGGTGAGTTTTGACACATAGCTATCTGTTATTGCATAGGGCTCTGAGAACTTGTTACAGCTATATTTGGACCTAAACTAAGGTGTTCAGACAAATTTTACATGTTTTAGGGGGTTTAGATCGACTGTAATGATCATTGAGGGTGTCATTTTTACCGAAGTTCGATCTTAACACCTAAAACATGTAACATACCTCTGAACACATTAGTTTTCAGGTCCATGTGCTATTGCATAGGGATTGTGCAGTTTTTCTGATTTCCCAGCCTATCGTAGCTTGTTCCATTAATCGCGTTAAATTTAGATCCTAAAATTAGTCAGTCATTGAATCAAATGAGTTCTCTAACAGTTGTTTTGTTTTATAAGTCTTAAACGATATTGGTGGAGCGGCACGAGAACAATGTCCATCACGTGAGCAATTGATTCAAAGATAGTCTGAGTGAGATTTGGAGCAGTCTGTTATAAACAATCACATAGCAAGTGCTTGCATTCATAATGCTATGAATTCTATCTTGATATTAAATCCAATTTTAACAATTGCATTACATAATATTGCAAATGAAAAAAAAGTTTATATTATCTTGATTTAATATTTAGTAGATAGATTCATTACATTTTGCTATTGATATATTTGACCCTTTCAATATGATATTCATGTTTCTGATATCTTTCATACTCTGTCACATTGTGAAGAAAGCACTTATACTATTCACCAATCAGAGCGGCATTTTTTGTTTACTGCATTTAAAGCCGGAAATAATTGTTCAGATACAAGTAAACAGGTAAATAAGTGTTCGTTCTGGTTTACCAATTGCTGCACACACTACAGAGTTAACTAATCTTCTAATAACAGAAACAAATATAGAATCTTGTGCAATAGCCCAATCAAAATGGCTCACAGACTTGATGTCAAATATGAGTCATTAGAATATGGTGTCAAAGATTACATTATTAATACCCCATATATATGATACAATAACTTTTTTGTCGCTATATGTACTTGAAAATGTACTAAATAGGAAATTCAATTTTTTTTTCGTTCAATACCAACTACATATTATTCATATCTCAGAACAAACCAATAGTTTTGCTTGTAAAGTCATCGATATTCTCGCATACTTCTGAAATATATTGGTTTTGGAAAGGGAAAGCTATTAGATATACCGTAAAAAAGTGGACATGCAACGCACAGCAACTTACATTCTATGTGTACTCATGACATATGTTACAAATCTCACAGCGGTTGAATACATTTCATGTCAAGACATGCTATAGTGTGAGAATCAGCGACACACAATTCTTTAACTTAATGAAATGTGTGATGTACGATGAAACAAAAAAACTATTCATTTAATATAGAACGATTAAAATTATAAGGAACGCATGAACATATTGTATTGCCAAGCAAATGGATTGGGTACAAGTTATTAAACTTATATCAAGCCCTTTCCCAGCGAATCACAAGCATATATTTACAATAGTACAAGATGGCAGACTTAATTAATATACATATATATACTATTTCATTTCCAAATGCTTTGATTTAAAAATTCAATTTATAAGAGAGAGANATAATACATACATCTTTATCATTATTAATGTTTAACAGATGATATCTGCCTCCACAACAACAGATGGTGTAAAAATGCATATTGGACCATGTGGTTGGTCGTTGTCCATGCAAACGGAACTAGTGATATTCAATTCGTTGTTCACAACTTTCTCCTGGTCATGTCAAGGCCAATAGCCATTTTGGTCTCTGTGGAGTATACCATAGATAGATGATACATTTTATTATTTTGTATTTGTAGGTCCTCTGAATGGAAAAAGGTTAGTGAAAGCGATAAGAAGGAACTTGGGTTGACTTTCGACGACAACGGTGAATTCTGGTAGGTTGTTTATTTTCATTATTTTTGCATACAAGACGTAACACAATAAAATACCCCCTGTCATCGGTACTATAACACCCATTATATACAGTGTTATGAACACACATTTCATAATAACTGGTGCCGCTGTTTGATTGTTAATTGTGGTAATGTGATAAACAGGATCTTACATTCGGTTCCATTTCAAATGCTATTTATTACACTTATTGCCACTTTTTCATTTTACCTCTCGATGTGTTCTATGGATTAAAGTAACATAAAACACATAATGTGTATACATGTATACTACGTAATGTACAGATTGTTTTCGTCACTGTACATAAAGATATAATACCATTTACGTACATGCATTTTAATTGAATTCAGCTAAAATGTATATTCATGAAATAAAATCGTCCTGATGTTAACATGTAACGAGTGAATTTTTGCATATTGTGTAAAATTTACAAATTAGTATTCATGTGGTTCGAGGTAAATCGATGATGTTAAAGCCTCTGTGATGATATTTGTTTCTGGGGAGACTGATTAATTCGCTGCTGTTGTGTGTAATCTTTATTGATGTGTATGTACTGAATTCATGAAATGCTAATTTTCGAGGCATCTCCTTGATGTCATTCGAGTTTTTGGCCCTTGAGAGTATGTATTAATAAACATTTAAACATTAGATTATGTTGTCTCGCTCGTTATTCCTATCATTACGAAGTTTGGTGTTACTGTCAAGTCATTATATGAATAATTATGAGCAATTTATACATATATATCTATAGGATACCTTAATATCAATGGTACTTTCAAATATGTCACAGCTAATGCAGAAATAATTTATTTTCAATATCATGTTTAATAACGCCATTTGGCACGATAATTTATATATTAATGTCAATGATGCATGACGTCACAATAGACGACGTCATTCATGTCTGAAGTCGTGGTTATTGGTTCGTTTCAGGATGGCGTTCGAAGATTTCTACAGATACTTTACCTCCATGGATATATGTCACATGATCAATACGTCATTCTTCTCCTTCAAGAAAACCTGGAAACAGGATAAGTTCTGCGGAGAGTGGAAACGTCCAGACAGATGTGGTGGGTGTGGAAACAATGGGTCTTTCCTCAACAACCAACAGGTGAGTGACTATAACATTATTACAGATTATCTGTCCCACAGCAGGCAAAGCGCTAGAGATGTCCACAGTGTTTCTTCGTATACAGAGTCACCTCCCCTTGACCTCGTTTTGGATAACACTTCCGTTGACCAGGTGGCTCAGGTGTATTGTAATCAGAGGCCATGTGTTTGATTAGTATCAAAACGCATTATTTTATTTTATTTATTTCATTTCCCCCCAAAACAGTCCTGCAAGGTATAGTTTTCTTTTCAACAATGATTATCAAAAGGTATGGTCATGCAAAAAAAAACGTTTCTTATGTTTTTGCAGAGGACATTTGTACGGGGATTTTAAGATTGTTGTATTTTTCAATAATCAGTTACCTCCCTTAATCAACATAGTCCTACATCATCAACACAAAACACACACTCAAGACTTGTTTAGTAAAGTTTGAGCAGCTTCAGCAGTATATATCTGCCAATAAAGGGTATACAGTATAGCGTTGAATTATACCGGTCGCTTATTTACCACCTCGCCAAACATTTTATTATTCCTTTTCCTTATCAATTCCTTTATAAGGGTCTACTGCTTGATTCATTTATAATTCCAACATCCAGCTATACAATTGGTGGTAAGACAACGATTTAATCTAGTGTAAAAACCAATGAAGGAAAAGAACAATCGCCGGGAAAAGAATATTGGAAATGACTTTCTCACGGCACTGTCATAGCCAACAGTTGTACATTTCTGACGTTCAACGGTTTTTTTGGGCACATGTTTTTTTCTTATTTTACGGAATTTCAACAAATGTTCATTCGTCCCTTACATCAATAATGTCACTGCTGAGTCTCGCATGATCGAAATGGTCGTATGGTATACGTTCGAAAAAGGCGTTACCTTACGTCGTATGTTTGGTAGTTAAACGTACGTACATGATCATAAGATTGTAAATTGGACATCTCGATATTGTATGGCTTGTATTCATAAAATCAGCCACCTGCTCTAACCACAACTAGGTGTGCAAGCATAATGCCTTGTTCCGGTAATAATCTATGTATGTATCATGTTCCCAAATCATTCACATGAACTTTGAAGCTGAATATTTAGACTTTACTTTATGACGGTGACGCACCATTTCAACGTGTTATAATTCAAAAAGGTTAGCGTTAACTCAGCATTCCTCTTTAAGCATGGTAATGGTATAATTAATACGGGCCGACATTTTGGTGTTTGGCCATGCTCTGTATGTCTTGTTTGGACTTATTGCAGTACGTGTTTACCGTGGAAGAGGACGATGGGGAGGTCTTACTTTCACTGGAACAGTGGGACAAACGAATCGACAAGGACAAGGGCAAAAGCAACTACACCATCGGCTGCACTGTGATGAAAGTAACTGTCTGTCTCAGTAGTTATCGTATAAAGAATGATTGTTCTCAATTTAAATGCATGATCGGAATATTTCACACACTGCATAAATCAAACAGCAAACTTTATAACTTGCTAAAGCATGTAGGATCGATGACAGATATTTCCTCACACATCTTACCATTATAACTGTGTCAACTGTATTGAGACACGAAACAACGACACAAAAACAACACCAAATGATAATGTCTGGTTTGTCAACTGAAAATGGTATTGCTTTAAAGCGGTCTTGATAATTGGTAATAATTAATGTAAGCAGATTGAAATAGTGAGCAGATGCTTCATTTAAATACATATACAAAGTAATAGCAAATCTACGACTGTTAAGAATTTAACACCGATACGACAAAAACTAAAATGTCATAACCGCGAATATGTAAATAATATTCAGATCTGCATACGGTGAAACAAGGAAAGGACGTATACACTTTTGTAGTCATATTCTAATAATGTCTACAAATAAACTTCCAAAGATTTGATGAAAAATTGAGATTGTTTTCTCTTCTCATTTTAGACTGATTTAAACCGGAAGTTCCGTATGCATGACAGAATGGACAGAGTGCATTCTGGTCCGTTCTCTAACGCACGTGGTGTGTTCGCGCGTATCAACCTGAAGTCTGGAACATACTGTATCATACCTTCTACGTTTGAGCCAGGGAAGACAGGCAAATACTTACTTCGTGTCTTCTGTACAACTGCGCCGTTGATGAGGTACAGTACACTTCCGTTTCTGTGTGATTAATGTCATAGCACTAACTAAATCCGTGAAATCGTACTTTTCATTTCTTCGGGGAGTAATATCTTAGCTCCTTTAGTGTTCTTTTATGGTTAGGGATTTTGTTGTACCACTGTAGAATCAAGTCTACCTTAACGAAAACCTGGAATGAACGGTCACATGTAAAAAACGAGCAGGTGTTATATTTTATTACAATTTAATTTATTTATTGAACTAATTTAAGACAATTTTGAACAGATACTAGCTCATTTTAATGATAATAAAATTCTACATTTATAAAATAAAATAAGATACTCAGTTATTAGCAATATTAAATAATTACAATACATATATTTTGATATGGTATTTTTTTTTACATAAATGGAACTTGACAGTAATACCTAATTATCTCATTAGGCAATGGGCTTATCAACAAACTTCAAAATATGAGTAAACTCGGGAAATATGCTTTATAAAATTGTTTTGTTGTTTTATAATATAGGGAACTTGTGCATGACAAGCCCCTTCCCCCACAGATCTGTGGCATAAAGGGGATCAAGAAACCCAAGGTAGCCGCTACTCAAATAACGATGGTGCGAGCGGAGGCTCTAGAGGCGCAGGATTGGGATGGAGGTAGGCTTATTATAGATTATAAAACAGTTTAAAATGTGTTAGTTTAAATAGTATATGTTTCATTTGATTAAGAGCCAAGTAGACCAAAGTCGTTCAATTATTTATCAAGTTATGGTGTTTTTTTCATTATAATTATAATTGTACTTATACGTTGTACTTGTTGACGTGTCTAGCCTCAGTTTCGTACTTTATAAGAAGAGATGAGCTACTTTTGTTATCGATATTTGTGTTGCGTTTCTAGCATCATATCCGTATTTTATAAGAGAAATGGGACACATTTGTTATCAATATTTGTGTCCTATTTAACTTCTAGCCTCGGATCTGTACATAATAAGAGAAAATGGGACACTTTTGTTGCCAATATTTGTGTTCCGTTAATGTGTGCGTTCAGAGAAAAGATGAGATACTTATAAATCAATATTTCTGTTCTGTTTCTAGCCTCTGATCCGTACTGTGTAATATACTGTAACAAGAAAACCCAGCGGACTAAAAGCATTCCGGACACGGTCAACCCGGAATGGAACGAGAGGGTGACGTTTTATAGACAGAAGCCTGACAAAGACGTCCGCATTGAGGTAACACTTTATAGAACAGATATACGATGGAACGAAAGGGTGATAATTTACGGACAGAAATATGGCACAACATTCTTATTGAGCATAAAAAAAATCAACAGAGATCTGGGAAGAAACGAAAGGATGATTGCCTTTTTAAACTAACCCATAACAATCAGAACACAGCATAACCTCAGATATCTACAGCTACTCTCCGGAGTACATTTAATTTGTGTAAATTATCTTTAAAAAGGTAGGTTTTCACAACATGACCTATTTGTGAGCTCGATAGAGTTATTCCCCTTTTGTCTATTATAGAGGACGTTGACTGGAACGTTCGTTAGACATGTATTTGATATTATGTGGTTCGATATTAAGAGTAAGTTGATTTACGATGAAAGTCGAAAAATGTGGATTTAAAGGAAGACTTGTGAAACAAACTACATATGTTTGACAACATCAAGCGTTGTAGCGTGCCAATATGTGAAAACAACCCGACATGATATTGAAATAGTTACGTTTTAACATAATAATTTTCCTCACATTCTGGCTTCTTAATTTTCCTTAACTGCTTTCTTGAACATTTGAAATATGTTGCAGGGGGTATTTTTCACGGCGTATGTTTGTGACTTTATTCTATATTTTTGGGTTCCACATGGTGAAAATTATGTTAATGACTTTCATTAAACTTCCTGTCTCACTTCATCACGGCCTTTTCAGCAAAGTTTTCATAACATTTCTTCTCACTTTTTGTACGATATTGTTTTATGATATATCGTAACATTTAGGTTGAAAAAAACAATGCGAAAGTCGGTGACTCTTCAAATTTTTAAAAAGGATTTTCTTGGTACAAAGTTACAGTAGTCAATCCTTGTTATTTCTTTTCAAAATCATAAAACATATATAATATAGTATGAATTTGTATCACATTGATATTATTTCTATAAAGATTGCAAGAAGTTGTATTTTCGATCAGTTTTGATGGGTTCCTTCTCAATAAGTTAAGTGGCATGCGATCCTAAGTGCCGACGTAGGACTGTACCGTTAAGCTAACTACGTGGAATGGTGTTGGAATCTAGTCGGCTTCTCCGACACTTACATTTGTCGTGCAATCAATAGCAATATTGTTATAATTCGAGGTTCTTATATACCGCTTTATTACAACCTAGTTCGTAGGTCGTCTCAAAGCGGTTCACAAATTATTATCCGTGGTTATAGGTCCCTTGCAACCAGCCAATACATTTCTCAACTCCCTGTTGAGCATACAGACGGTGCTGCAATTTCGGCGCTCACAGCTAGCATTCTACAATTCTAGCACTACCCAACCACGGACTCATTTACAGCGGAGTAGACTGGAACAAGCGGAGTAAAGTATCTTGCTTAAAGATACAACCCAGTGCCATGCCGTGACTCGAACACGCAACCCTTCGGTCACGAGCCCGGCGTCCTACCACTAAACTATCGTGCCTCAGTAACGTCTACAGTGTATATGTATTGTCGTACTCTGTTTGCACTCAATGTCTGTGCAAGTTTTTCCTGATTACGCGAGTGTGATATTCTACATCTTCCTTGTTATTGCGCATCATTCCGTGATGGAGCGATCGATGGTTCAAGTACACAAAGCACTGTTATCTTAAATTTAAATTTAAATTTTATGTTACCTCTTTTATTGAAGTCGGTTCATACTTCAACTCTTTATCTGCTCAATTTACATGAAAATAATTGTTAGCTTACAAGTGGAAATTCAAACGCTTCTAAAGTAAATATATATTGTCTATATCCTGTATGGTCTGACATGACAACATCACCGACCTAGCTTGATCTTCTGTTTTGTCGATACAGCAACACACTTCCAGACTACCGTTGTGTATAGAAACCATTTATAACGTCTGCATAATACATATCGGGAAAGCAAAATAAGAAAATGTCTGCAAGAGACAAGCACTTCCATTGAAATCAGCCATATCTTACATTTTTTTTATAGCATTAGTCATATATACAGGCACCCTACATATGTATAGCTATAGTCAATATTTTGTTTACAAAATAAACATATGATTATATCAAAACAACATTGAGTAATATTGATATAGATGGTTTCAAATGATTTTGAAAAATATCTAGAGCAGCACAAATAAAACTATTCCATGCTCAAATTCATAGATAGTGTATCAAGTTCAAATCTAACCGATACGACGCTCTGTTGAAAGTTCTGAGTTTGAGTTCCAACGTAATGCTTGTATTTACACATTGTGTTTTTTTTATTTCAGGTTTGGAACCATAATATCATCAAAGACGGGTTCATGGGGATGTGTTTATTACCCATGTCGGACAAGAAGTCCTACAGGGGAGGGAATACTATAAGGCGATTTGAACTCACTGGTCGAGGAAAAGATAGCACAGTAAAGCGACGAGGGTATCTATGGCTGAAGGTGCTACACAGTGAAGATATGTCACACGTGTGATAGCGCATATGTGATGAAGATATATCACACGGGTGATAGCGCATATGTGATGACGATATGTCACACGTGTGATAGCACATATGTGATGAAGATATGGCACCCGTGTGATAGCGCATAGTGATGAAGATATGTCACACGTGTGATAGCGCATATGTGATGAAGATATATCACACGTGTGATAGCGCATATGTGATGAAGATATGTCACACGTGTGATAGCGCATATGTGATGAAGATATGTCACGTGTGATAGCGCATATCTGATAAGACGACTGACATAGTTAAAACAAACTGCCTTGCTCAAAATTTGATCATGATTCAATTGACGCCTAACTTTAATTTTCTGTGACATATGCTGTGTGTATATATGGTTTTTACAAAATGTCTTGCACGGTAAGCAATGAAAACATGCTTAAAAACAGAAAATCTCTAAACAAAGGCCGATGCACTGGGGAAAATTTCAATGAAACATCATTACATCGTATACTTGTAATCTGGAAAACCAGTTTGACGGATCTATACACACCATCCACCAAACTGTTCGTGCAATCGATATTCAATCCAATGTATCTAGTCCAACGTTATTTCTACCGCTGTTCTCTATCTGTACATTTACAGTAAAACCTCGTTATGCTGCCACCATTTGTCACAGGATAAAAGCCGGTATAAAGGGATTTGGCGATAAGTTGAGGAAAACATCTAAAGGAATTCATAAGAAAAAGAAAAAAAGCAACATTAATATATTGGCGGTAAGTGAGGTGGCAAATGGAGTATAAGGCATTATATCGAGGTTTCACTGTATATACACTATGGTATTACTGTAATAGTTTTTTTCGTGGTACCTTATTTTCGCATCTTAGGTAAAAAATTACGAAACCTTTTTCTTGCCGATTTTAGGTCTAGTTGTCATGGCACACAGTACCACGGTGCAGATGAAGTAATTTGCTATTTTCATCAAAAATAACTTTTATAGTGTCAAATATTCGTGCATATATTAATTGTGTATATGCACACTGATATCTTCAGATGGAGTTGTAGGTATCAATATAGTACCGTAGAATTATGTTAGCATCAACGCTACATAAATGCACAAATAACGTAAACTGCAAACAGAAGGTAATTTATTTTTTAGGTACAACAGTACAAAGAAACAGTCGTTACACTAAATAATGAAACTCCGTTATTTGTTTCTAAAGGGGTTTAATGCAAAGCATATTTTACTGTTATGTAGGATTTGGCTGCAGTAGTTTCAAACTATGTAAGAGCACATGACATTAAATTTAATGTATTCAAGTGGATTTTTGTCACAGTTAAATTTTTGACTTTTTCGCTTTCAAGATAAAAGGGCAAAGTTTTCATGGCAGAGAATATTAGCACACAACATACATACTTTATTTGTGCAGGGAGAAATGGCTACTGGACGATTATGGATTTTATAGGTGAAAAGCGAATATTTGACTGGGGGATTTTTTTCCGGTTATAATTGTTATTGATAAAAGTATTTGTGTATATAAATGTATTATATTGCGCTGTTATATCAGCTGTTACTAATATATATAACGCAATTAGATGCTAAACTAACTCTTAGTAGTAAGCCAGTGCTTACGTAGGCTGGGCTCTTGTAAGCTTACATTCTTATGTTCACATTTTCTCCACAAACAATAGTTTTAATAATTTTGATAGATCTTTCTACGGAGACATAAATGCATCAGATATATATTAATTATATTCAACAACAGCACAGTTCTTACGAGAGTGGTTTAATTGTATCACTAGTCTCCCAATTACGCTGTTGATTCAATCCATGCATTAAGAATTTCAAATCATATCCACAAAATAAATGAATCAATGGTAAATTGAGTGTGGAACACGCGACCTTAAACTCTATTTGATTTGATTATAAATTTGTTACGGATTACAAATTTAATAGAGTTAATTTTTGCCCTTTTCACCATTCCGTCTTTGCGTATTGCAGAGTTTTCTGCTCTTGTGAGAAGGTATTGATTGTTACGTCATTTGTTTGTGAGAGTAACGTCATCAATTTTTGAGAAAACGACGTAATTTTCTCACACAAACCAATGACGTAACAATCAATACCTGCTCTCAAGAGAAGATAACTCTAATACGCAAAGACGGAATAAACAGTTCTAAGAATGCCTACTCTTGGCTCGTTGCACAACAATTATCACATTAGTAATATTTGTAGCAAAAGTTGATTCTCTTTGTCTACTAGTTGACTTAAACTTCAAAAGATGTCGAAACAATTGTGAATATATTGATTTTATCTTACTTGATACTAGTATATTGTTTTGAAGCCGGTACAATATAAGGTATAGACATTGATAAATATAATGATAAAAACAAAAATATTGTAAATGCTGTATCGTATTAAAAATGGATTTTCTGCTTTACCAATGAGGCACTTGCTTACAACAAATAGAGTATCTTCTAAAAAATGGATACATGTGTATTATCTGCTATATAAATGAATAATTTGGTTTAAAAATTAGTTTCGTATCTTTGTTCCCCTTTCTTGGAAATAATATGATTTTTCTTTTCTCCAAAACAATCCGACAAAATTATAAGACTGATAAGATGCAATGGAAGGAATGATAGGTACGTTTAATGGAGCTATTCAGGCCTTTCTGTTATCTACAAGTTTAGAATAGTGTGTCCAAGTTGACTTCTTCAACTGTCGTTACCTACATGTACAGACCAAACAAAAAATATTGGTGTTTCCGGTAACCCTACTTTTTGTGCCTACCCTTAACTTTTCCAGGCAATTTTCAAAGAAGAACTGTTAAAGTCCAGATCATTCTCCTATATAAACTATAAAATTATTTCTTAAATAAAATTTGTTACCTACCTACTTACCCTAATATTTTCCAATATGTTATAGGAAACACTTATATGTTTGGTCTGGCCTTACCTTAATAGTAAACGTGTCCAGTAATACAAAATTATTGAAAATAGATGTATTCCAACATGTTGAATGTGATAGTTCGTATTATATGTTTGAGCATGCGCATAGACAATACATATGCTCAAGGATCAAGTCATTTTATTGGCTACATATCAGGATATATTTTATTATACAATTTTTGCTGCGCTTGTTGGCATTTATTACTTACATTTATGCGTAAATCTATTTTATTTTGTGAATATATATTTTTGCCATAATTTTCTGTACGTCATTGTCGGAAAATATTAATGAGTTCTTTTCAAGATCATATTTTGTAATCACGCATATAGAACGCCTGAACATTTGTTAGAATTAGTGTCATAAATTATTAGCTTGATTTCAAAGTATGTACTAGTAACAATTTCACAAATATATTAAATAATGTTAAATAATGTTTAAATTCTTTATTCAAAATTATCACGTGATGAAACATCATTTTTGAAATTATTCGTTGACGTCAGTATTAAATTGAACAGCTTTGACATTTCCCATGATAACTAGAGGATCAAGACTACAGTCCAAACATGCTTTTTCTCATATGAATTTAGTTTAAATTTTGAATATGTAACTTTATATATATATTTTAACTTAACTGGTAACCATTTTAATGGTTATGAGAGAACTCATGACCTTGTAATTTGACCTGATGACCTTTAAAATTACATCAACAATTCCGTAGTGTTATTTGCGAATCTGCAGCAGCGAAAAAGAAGTCTTTCGGAAGGGAAATTCCGGTGTAGGAAAACGACGAAGCATGACATTTAATCGGTTATGGCAGAAACAAATATCGTGACTCTTGTTTATCATATTTATTTAAAGCTCGTTATGTTATTTTCAATTTCCGAAATACAAGAGGTTAACTGAGTTGACATGAATTAGATAAATGTGATAAACAACCGTCAATAGTTGCAGAATCTCTAAGTGTTAAATGTATAAAGAAGCATAACATCGAGCCCCTGATATTTATGATGACATGATACAGTTCAGATGATATATACAATTGTATGTTTACTTGGAACAATTGTGTTTATATTTATATTTATTTACATTTAATCTGCATCCTACCCTTCGAATACATCGCGAAAGCAAATGTTGTTATGGGACTATAACAACATTTGCTATTGTAACGTCATCAATCTCTATTGTGACGTCATCAATTTCATTTTGTCAACAGTTGATTTGCTATTCAAAAACAGTTCGAAATAACAAGATAAAGCATAACTACCCTATCAAAATGTAAATATAAATGATGAATAGTTCAGCGAATATTGGTATGGTCCTATAACACATACAGTTTGTCATCAATAGCAATGTGTGTTATAGGACCATAACAACATTTGCTAAAACATTCATTGCCTAAATATTATCATACTACACAACCTATGATATCTAGATGTCCATTTACTCAGAGTAGAGATTAGCTCATAAGCATGAATGTGTTTGAGGGAGAGAGATTATATCATTGATACTGTTAATGAAGATTTTGCTTTTTTACATTCTTATTAAAACTATGCAAGTTATTTAAAGCTGTTTGTGTTTCAATCCGATACGTTACTAGTTATATCGTTCTACTCATTAACGGCAACTTCTTGATTACGAATAGGTATTATTAAGATCGAAACACTTCGAAGAACGAAAGATTTCTTTGTATGTTATTGGTAAAATAATTCATTTCCGTTGTTTGTAAGTTGGCAAAAGCAATGAAATATACTGTGTTACAAAATGTACGAGATAGTATATATTTGTATACATGGAGTCTATGTACAATTTTGTCTGTTTCAGTGCATTTTAGTGCATCAATCTGGTTCCGGCTTATATGCTGAATGATTGAAAGGACTCGCACACCTAAATTATTTACTTTATCTTATAACTAAGCTTTTGAGCTAATAGCTTTAATATTTAAAGTTCAACACTGGTAACAACTATCACGATTCATAGATACACACCTGACAAAGGCTACAAAAGGCATTTTTTGGTGAGTTTGATGGCATATAAGAGCGCTACAGGCGTCTGCTTTTGACAACCGGAAGTTTACAAGTCAAACCGGTGAAGTGGGACGGAAACTCCTCCCTGACTTTTTATCCCAGATCAATAGTTGATGCAGCGTGATTCATTTCGGTATACACTATGTATTACAGCATGTGTGTGTCTCACATTCATCTTATTATCAAAATATGCCGAGAGAAACGTTCATAGTAGATTTGTTTTGTGACAAACAATTTATCATGTAGCTGTATTTCAATATCAGCAACGAGTTTCATTATAATGCTGTGTATCACATAATGGAACCCCAAGAGGGATATGCTGACGTAGCTGGTAGAATCGCACATTACATCATCATAAAATTAATAAATGTCTATCCCAAAGGTCCCACAGGGAACCTAACAAAATTACAAGCGACTGTCAGTCTTTTTCCAAGCTTTCGGGCTTAGCCCTCCATCAAGAATTGAATGGTTCTCATCCTTATGCCACATCCTATTTGAGTGCACTTCCTGTTCCTGTATTCAAATATGGAATTGGCATAAGGATGAGGACCAATCAACCCTTGATGAAGGACTAAGCCCGAAAGCCTGGGCGTAGAGTGACTGTTGCTATTCATAATAAAACATTTCATACAACAGACGAACGATACAAGCTCTGAGTAAGAAATATTTAAGAAATGTTACAATGGTAAACATATCTAATTAGTCTTATAATAACGGTGAAACCAACACGGCGAAACTAACACATGGCGAAATCAACATAGGAAGAATTCGTTTTAGCACAGAACGTCGAAAATATTACAATCAAATTATTCAATCTTACTCAACACTATCGAGATACACATGAACTATTTTAGCCTAAGTGAACACCATAAACAGCATTTAAACAAAATTGTGTGGCAAAAGTAAATTATTCACCCTAAACACCATTGTGACATATTGGTAAATAAAATTGAATAAATTACATATATTGAGAAACCATAATATAATTATTCATATAGGAAAACTATTTAGTTTAACTATATAAAGTTGTGTATTGAGGTTAATTAAATGGAATGAATTACCTGTATGATGTTTAGTCAGGTTAAATAATTTGTCTACTAGTATTAAGAAAAAACTATTAAACCTTACTGACCATCATTGAGGAATATTCTTAACGATTTCTCCCCCATCACCATGGTGATATATAGGTGAAGTAAATAAATGTTATCTAATTAATAAAAAAGATGTTTCGACCATAAGGCAATTCAAAGCGTATTGCCTATGTTATATAGAAATACGTGTCTACATACTGACTACCTGTAGCTATTCAGCAATACGATACACCTAAGTTAATACTCCAAATATCGTGCATCGAAGTGTGAAATTTCCCACTTTTCTGCCTTATGATACGGACTTAATACCGGACACAATCCGCGGATAGTCAGCAACAGCTGCACATCTAGCCAACACTGCTAACACAGGCGTCGGACGTGGGTTTAAATCCAAACAAACGTTAGCATATAGCATCAAATCAAGAACTACTGCTGATAATACATTGTTAATGTAAAATTACTTAACATCAACTGTTCGTCATAAATAAACTGAAGTATCACCCATTTCAAATTGTCGTTAATAAAGACGAACGAAAGACACACACAGATGATCGCACCTATAACATCTCGTAAGATACAGTATATCAAAATAAATTATACTACACCATAAAGCTGTTTCGTCGATATAGGACTCAATGGTGATATTAGCGACTACCTTTATTCATAATGGCAAACACCAACCTTAAAATCACAAATGTGCACTACGTAATAACATCCGAATAACAAAGGAAAACATGCAGAGCTAATTACAACAACAAACGGTGAAACAGTAACCTCACAATATCACAAACAAATATAGAGGTAACTTAATGATCACAAATGTGCAACAATAACCTCGTAATCACAAAATAAAACAGCAGCATGAAAAATCACATTTCATGTAGTAACAAAAACCTCAAATCGCAAAGTTATTGTAATGTAAAATTTGTAACAGAAACCACAACATCAAAAGAGAAATTTAAATCTCAAACATTACAATAGAAA